ATAGGAAAATTCCGACGGATTTAAATTCCGTAGGAAAACTAACTTTCCGACGGAATATTCCGTCGAAAGCCTTTCATTCCGAGGGAATTAATTTCCGTCGCAATATTTCCGACGGATTTTTTCGTCGGAATGAACCTTTTCCAACGGAATGTTCCGACATACCATATTTCCGTCAGAAAGTTCGGATTTTCCGACGGAATTTGTGTCCGTCGGAACGATTCCCTCGGAAAACGACCTATTTCTAGTAGTGTCACTGGGTGTACGACGCTTCCTCCAAACCCTACTAAAGGGTGAGATACCGGATGTATGCAGTCAGGTTTGTACTTGAGCTTTGCCAAGCACTTGTTGCTGATTAGATCAGAGGAACTGCCGGTGTCTATGAGGATCCGACCAACTCTTTGGTTGGCCACTTTACATTTAATAACAATGGGGTCGTCATGCGGCCCCTTAACGCCTCCCAAGTCTTCCTCTGTGATGACAATTTCTGGGAATGAACTCTTGGAGGTCCATCCTTGTTGACGGAATTCACATTTAACCGCCTGATGTTGTCTTTGTTGCCCCTGATAGTGGGGCCGCCTCCTGCGAAGCCGCCTGCTATAGTATAGACGACGGCGTCGTTAGTGTCAGAACTGTCAGCCGACCGGTGCTTCTTCTTGGCCGCCTGTTTCTGTTTGGAAGGAGCATTCCCCTTACACTTCTTGACATAGGAGTCAAGATCGCCTTTTTCTGCCAGGCGGTCCAGAAAGCGCTTGAGGCTTATACACTCATTGGTTTCATGACCAATGTCTTCATGGAAGTGGCAGAATTTGCTTTGGTTCCGATTGCTAACGAAACCTTTCATGGCGGTCGGCTTCTCAATTGAGATCCGCCTTGATTTCATTGAGGATAGCGTGGCTATCCTTGTTGAACTCATACCTGGGAGAGTATGGTTTATATTATTTCTTCTTTTTTCTAGGACGATGTTCAGAGGAGTCAGCCGCCCATATTTCCTTTCTCTTTTTCTCTTCTTTATTTGCCGACTGCTTTTGTCGGCTTTCTCTTTTGTCGGGCCTCTTGCTGTCCGACTGCTTCCTAGTATTACACAGGTCGGTTGCCTGAATATAGGCATCCGCCTCCATCATGGCCTCTTGGAGGGTGGTCACCCTCTTCCTGACAAGGTCAAATTTGAAGTTCGACCCGTCCTTAAGTCCTCTGAAAAAATCAGTATAGGCTACCTCATCCGGCAGCCCTTGTATCTGAATCCTCATCAGGTTAAAGCGCCTGATGTAGGAACGGAGTCCCTCTTTCTCTCCCTGTTGTATGGTCCCTAGGTCAAGGGTGGTCTTTTTAGCAGGAATGTTCATCGCAAAATTGGAGGTAAACAAGTAGGCAAGGGTCTTGAAATTGTTTACGCAACCAGTCGGCAAGTTGTCGAACCATTGTTGAGCAATGCCCTTCAATGTGGCTGGGAAGCAATTACACCATGTGGGATCATCCAACCCTTGAAGGTACATAAGGTTGGTGAACACCATCAAATGGTCTTCTGGGTTTGTAGTGCCATCATAGACTCCTACTAACACATTCTTCACTTTGGCCGGCTGGGCGGCCTCAATGATTTCCTTGGAGAAGGCGGACGGCTGTTCTCCAAGTCTAAGAAGCCTAAGTTACAAGTCCAAAGGCTGGACATTTCTTGCCGCCTGTCCTCCAAATAGGGTAGGCTGCATGAAATATTCAGGTTGCGACACGTATGGCTGGGGTGGGACATGCGGGGCCGCCTGATCTTTCTGGGAGCCGGACCGGTAGGAGGTACCGCCTGTCTGGCTCTCATAATTTGATTTTGAATACCTCAAGGAGGTATTGTGTAAATTGTCTTGAAAATCAGAAGTAGAGGCCGATTCTGACAGTCGATCACTCTTCTTCTGCTCTAGCAACATTCAAGCATCAGAGTATGTTCTCTTTGACCCATCCGATTGAATATCACGGATGGGCTTCCTCTTTCCTGGTGAGGGAAAGCGATACTTCGTTAGGTCGATCACTGGCGGCTGCCTTGCCCTAGGCTTTGGGTAAGGGGTCGCCTCACGATCTTTTACAGGCTTCTTCCTCCAAGATTGGGAGGGTCTTTTGGCCGACTGTTCCTTTGGTGGAACAGGCGTCTTCTTACTGATCAGCTCCTGGATTTCCCCTTTGAAGCTATTCATGAATGTCATGAGTTTACTTATAGTGATGGGGGCAGATCCCTCGGCCGCCTGTTGATGATCAAGCGGCTAGTCGGCTGGTTTACTAGATCCAACCTGGCAGTCCTCCCGTTCCCTCCTTTCGGTGGGACGGGTGCGTCGAGCTCTGAGGGTCCCGTCAGGGGCCGTGCCAGTCTCGACCTCGGTATCATTATCCGTATCCTGGTCACTGTAGACCTAAGGGTCGTCCATGGGACGCTTGTCATTTAGAATCGGTACAAACTGTGATTCCATCTCGAAAGTACTCTCCCCACAGACGGCGCCAAAATGTTTCGGGGTTTTTTTATGTCCTGCGGGAGAGTTACAATTCCGAGATTGGGATCCTTGCGCCTGTACCTACAAAACAATGGAAACTCTGGTTGGTGGGGAGCTTCGCCTCCGACGATCAAGTTAGAACGTATTTGAGGAGTAAATAGTGCGGAAAGTAAAAGGGTGATCTGGTTCCTCTAAGGGAGGAGTGATCAGGAAGTGCAATTAATTGCTAAGTCAGGTCTAGCAATCAGAAAGCACGTGTGTTTAGACTTCTCTTGATGAGAGTAATTATTTCTGAATCGTCTTAAATGGAGGCTTAATTATTGTATTTATAGCCTCGGGATGCGTGCCTAAATCCATGGTTTTTGGTAAACCCTAGATCTGACTGGGCTTCTCTCGAGAAGTGGGCCTAGGTGGCCTCCTTCCAAGTTGGCAATCAATAGGCCACATGGCGTGGCATGACTGGTCCATGGTGGACAAATGATCGTGTGCCACGTGGCAGGCCCTGAGAGGTCCATATGGAGGACACTTGACAGGACCTGATTGGTCCACGTGGCGTACACTGATTGGGCGGGGAAAACCCCCTAATCAACTAGTATAATATATTATTATATTATGTATTTACAATAATTTAGAGACAGCATAATGACATGTTATATAGGAAATTATCAAACAAATATTCATAGGTTAGCAGATAAAAGGCGACTGGGTAATGGATATGCACATGGGTGGTAGATCGGGTACGGTGTGGGTCTCCCGCTTAGGCGGGTGTGAATGTTAAAATTTTACCCATCGCGGGTGGCGGGTAGGTTACATGTATAAAAAAATTTGGCTGACGCAGATACGGGGGAGGGGGTGTCCGTACCCGCACCGTCCAATTGTCATTCCTACTCAAAATTATGAAGCAATGATTGGGTAAAATTTTTTGCATTTTTTTATAATACCTATGTACTTTTTTGTTATATTCACTTACGTTTGTGACGAGTCTCCAACATCAATATTTCACCAAATTTTAAGCATGTATCAATGTATGTAAATTTGATATTTTGATATTTGGATAATACGGAGTGTACATTAAAATGATTATAGTAAGCTCGTACATGAAATTTATACATTGATTTATTTCATAGTACAGAGTTGACTAATTTTTAAATGATTATTACACAAGGGCCAAAATAAATTTTGGCAACGTTGTACTTCATGTTGTTTTAGTGTGTATATTATTGGTCTAAATAAGATTATTTTCTCATTTTTGATGGAGTTTTTTTTCCGAGTCTTTAGAGAGTCACTTAGGATTTAATTTTCTTAACGCGTCACGTAAGATTATAAATTTTAGTTATAGCCAATTAAAAAAAATTTGTAAATTCTTTTAGACTAATATAATTCAAATGATACATAAGCAAAATTAGCGAATGCGATTTTAAAATTTAAATTAATTAAATATGAAATACGGAGTATTATCTTTTGATATTAGGAATTTTATCTAAATATATAACGAATGAGAGGAAATTCACAATTTATTTTAAAATAAAAATATTAAGTGATATATTACATATATTGGTTAAAATAATAAATTTTATCACATAATACAAAAAAATTTGTTTTATAAAATACAAACAAACCGTGCATCGCACGTGCTTCATCCAGTAATCTATCAATACATATAGTTATATGTGTTCACTATATGCAATATAATATGTACATAGTTTCACATAATTTGTTAATTACAAATTATTTCACGTCATAAATAATTTTAATACATTGATAGTGGAGAGAGAAATCATCGTAGGGATAGTAAAAGCAAATGTTGGTCTCGTTCCAAAAAGAATTTTCTGATAGAAAGAGTGAGTCTGATTCTTTAAGTGACGATGATTTTTTTGAGGTTAAGGTTGTTGCTAGGGATTTATTGTTCAAATTTTCTGGTGTTGCTAGAGATTAATATAATGTCAATTGGCTTGAAATATTCGTTTCAAATTGACTTGAAATTTGATTTGTAAGTATGGTTACTGTGAGTGATTATTGCTTGAAATAGATTAAGTGAGAGAGTGACACGGATGAAGTATCTCAAAAACTTGTTTGTTTTGTCAAAACCTCAAAGAAAAAGGGGACAAAATTTTCTTGCTACGATCTAATAAGGCTTGTCCCACTTTAAAGGTTCTTAGATTTCAGAGATTGTTAGACCATTTACAGAATGAAGTGGCTGAAAAGTTTGGAAAAAATATTAATGATGAGCCTTCAGTTACTATAAAATAAAAAGTAACCTAATTAGATTCAATTACATATGCTGAATTCATAAACTAAATGAATGGAATTAAAACAATTCAATAGTAAATTAATATGCAATATAAAAACAGAACAATAATAATGTATCTATTCATATTAATCATGGATCCGTAAAATCAAACAAAGCAAAATTAGTACTAAAAACAATAATATTAAAAACTAATACGAGTATTAAATACAAAAATTTATACACTTTTTTGACAATGTTTTTTGTTTTAAGTTTTCTATTTTTGTAAAAACAAAAAGCCTAAAGCAGGAAACAAAAATAAGATTTTTTCACTTTTTCTGTTATCAGTTATTATATAACATACATTATCCGACAAATCCACCTCACCCCGATGGTTTCAAAAAAATATAAATAACATATATCATACTAATATGATTTTAAAAAAATAAAAAAAATAATAAATCAAAAAACAGAAAATCATAACGATACCAAACGTATAATGAAAAAGCTAATTAATGAAGACTTACGTAAAAACTTAGCTAATAAAAAATCTTAAAAGCTGTTAATTAAAAACCAAACTAAAGAACAAAGAATAAAATAAAAAGTCAACTCAAACTTAAACTCCTCATAAAAAGCATATCTAAATCCTTAAAAAAGGCCACTAAGCTTCCCTCCCGATACATGAGATATTGGGATCGATTCTCACCCTCGCCCTTGTGGCTCTCTAAACACCAAATATATATATGGAAGGGATAAGAATACTAGTTATATAAGAACCAATTTAAACTGTAGGATTAGATTGGGATGAGTGGTCAGAATTAAAACAAAATAAAAACCATCTTTCCTCAAAAAAAAAAAAAAAAAAAAATAAAAATAAAAACAACCCTAACTTTCTCTCACTTCGATTATCGTAGTAGTTCATGTCTTTGAAGGTTTTCAACATTTTTCCTTCATTTTTTTTGCATAAATTCAACATCAAGCTAAGGATCATAAAACAAGTCAAATTGTTCAATAAAAGTACAAATTTTGGCGATAAAGCCCTAGATTTCGCAATTTTCAAATTCAGGTACATATTCCTTCGATTTCGTTAGATATTTATTGCTTATGTGCATTATATGTTCGAAAACATTGTTTTCGTCTATACATTGTTTGGATTTGTTATTTTGTTCTTCGATTTCAGTAGATTTTTTTGCAAATATAAACCCTAGATTTCACTTCATTTTTTTCGAATTTAGGTTCTAAAATTTAGCGAGTTAAATTGCAATTTCTTGTATGATCCAACAATGGCGAAGATTAGGGATGGGACTGAAGATTTCAAAGACGCTGTTCGCCGTGAAGCCATTTCTTTGGAGTACAATGGGTATATTTGGAAAATTATTTATGGTCAAATTTTACTGATTTTACTTTGGTTTATTGTATTGATAATTAATTATATTGGAGTGACATGTATTTTCATAAAATAGATTATAATTATAGCCTGATTGATTCTATGGAATTTGGCAATTGGTGCAAATTATAGAGAATAGCTCTTATGAACTTTGAATTTTGGTGTGTTAGTCAAAAATTGCTGCTATAATGACATCATTCATCATACACAAGCCTCGCGAAAGGACGTCATTCATGAAATCTTCTTTGATGACAGTAAGTGGATCTATGTAACAATTTTCAAGGTTTTAATTTGATTTGACGAAGAAATTTGTTGCATTGCAATGTTGTAATAGTGTAATATGTTGATTTTGCTTGGCATTCTTGAATTTATAGCTTGAGAGCATTGGGGATTTGGAAAAATATTTGATGAAACACAAGCGTGATTATGTTGATATGCATCGGACTACTGAACAGGAGAGATAGCATTGAACAGGAAGTAAGTTCTAACTCCTAAGCTATCTTTATGTTGGTCTTATTGTGAACAATTATTGTTTTGCGTTCGGCTTATTTGTAATTCGTTAGACATTAAAGTATTTGTTGGCCTTGTGATGGCTTGTTAATTCTTATGTCTTGAACAAATTGATTGATTCTAACCTCACTCTTTACCATGTCTACCTCAAATTTTTTTGATTTTCTTTTACTAGATATAGATGAATAGCTTTGTGGTAATGGTTTAACTACATGCTTTTGGAATAAAAGTTTGGTTGCTTATAATGCCTAGAAGTGGCAAAATCATGATATCTTCATCTGTATAGGGGACATATCGAAAGTAATTGTTAGAAGATAGCCTTATGGATTCATTACAATTACTTCCCACCTCTGCTGATTTTAATTGTTCTCAAGGCTGCTCTGATTAATTTTCCTCTGTGTTATGACTGCATTAATAAATGATTGGACCATACATGGTATCCTGGAAAATAGCTTGTAATTTGCTAATTGTCTCTTTCTTATCTTTGTCCTGCTTCACATTGAGTGTAAAAACTTTAGAACATAGGTAGTAAAAATTTAGAACACAGGAAAAAAAAAACTTTAGAACATAAGTAGACTGAATTTAGAACATAGGCAAAAGAATTTAGAACATAGATAAAAGAATATTTAGAACATAGGAAAAAAAACTTTAGAACATAGGTAGAATAATTTAGAACATAGGAAAAAATTAGAACATAGGTTGAAAAAATTTAGAAAATAGGAAAAAAAAAATTTAGAACATAAGTAGACTAAATTTAGAACACAGGTGAAAAAATTTTAGAACATAGGTAAAAGAATATTTAGAACATAAAAAAATACTTTAGAACATAGGAAAAAAAAACTTTAGAACATAAGAAAAAAAAACTTTAGAACATAAGTAGACTAAATTTAGAATATAGGCAAAAGAATTTAAAACATAGGTAAAAGAATATTTATAACATAGGAAAAAAAAACTTTAGAACATAGGTAAATTTGGTGGTGGTTGTTGGCTATGATTGGTGGCAGAGGAATGAGAAGGTCGGTGATGTTGGCAGAGGTGGAGGGTTTTGCGTGAGGGAGCAGCAGGGGGTAGGCCGAATTGGGGGGCTATGAATAAGGGGTGTAGATTGGAGATGCGGTGTAGGATAAGAGAGGGAGTGGTGAAGGTTAAGTGGCTGAGCAGCAGGGAGAACATAGAAAAAAATTTAGAGCATAGGTTTAGAACATAAGATTAATTTAGATCATAGGAAAAAATTTAAAGCACATATTTAGAACATAGGAAAAAATTTAGAACATAGGTAAATGGATATTTAGAACATAGGTAAATGAATATTTAGAACATAGGAAAAAAACTTTAGAACATAGGTAGAAAAAATGTAGAAAATAGGAAAAAAAAACATTTAGAACATAAGTAGACTAAATTTAGAACATAGGAAAAAGTTAGAACATAGATAAAATATTATCACGTAGGTTTAAAACCATACGGAGTAGGAAAAAGAGTTAGAACATTGGTAGAAAAAAGTTAGAACATATCTAAAATAAAAAAAAAATCTAGAACATAGTTAGACAATTTAAACTGATTTAGAACATAGGGATAAAACATTAGAACATAGAGTTATTGTAAGTTCTTGTACCATTTTTTTAATTGTTAATTTGCTAAAACCTATTAGCTCAAATGGTAGAACACTACGCAAATGCATAGGGATGTAGGTTCGATTCCTACATAGGTTATCTCTAAATGGAAACTATGTTACAATTAAAGTCTTATACAAAACTTTCATTTTCACAAATGAACCTACGTGGGATTCGAACCCACATCTCTGTGCTTTTTGCACAATGCTCTACCATTTGAGCTAGCAGGCTAATGTTTATAAAACATCATTTAATTTGCTACTAAAACCATTGACCTCTACACAGACCAAAACTTATAACACATCACTTTATTGAGGTTTAATATCTATAAAAAAGATAAGTATGCCAATATGTCATTTAAGTCGAGCAACGCTATAATTAAATGTTAAGGCTATCAACAAATGATCTTGTACTATCACATTGATGCTTATAAGAATCAAAATATGAAATGGGTACCTTTAACAACAAACAAATCTGTCACAGAGACTTATAAGAGGAATATGGTGATGTTAGTCATTTCAATTCCCTTGCTGGTAGAAAGGGGCTTGCAGGTCTTAGCCTTCTATGTACCCTAAAATGGCTTGAAATGGTTAATGAGTATCGAAGCTTTGTTAACTCTCATACAAACTAAAAATAGCTTGAAATGGTTTATGAGTATGGAAGCTTTGTTAACTCTCATACAAACTATCGTCTCCACATTACATAAATGAGCCTATGTGGAATTCGAACCCTCGTCTTTTGTGCATTTATATAATGCTTTACCCGTTGAGCTAGTAGGCTTTATAATACGAATCCATAAGCATTATTCCCAATTAAGTAGAGAAAATATGGACCAACATACTTGCTCAAATATGGATCAAGACATTATATTATGTACAACACAATTTGGATAAGACCACCTTCAATTATCGATCTTATGTGATCGTAACAACTGTCAACCAAAAATATTAGTATACTACTTGGTTTGTACAAATTACATTGGTAGACATAAAGGGTGCATTGATGCATACTACTTGAGATCAACAACATAACCTAGTAAGAATCAGATTAAGGTATGGATCATACCATAGATGCATATGCAGCTTTGGCTCTAAAGGCTTTAAAGTAAGCTAGGTGGCCAAGGTCCTAACTGTCTTAAACTTTAACTTTTGAGTGTTACTCCGTAGTCCGTACGACTTAAGATTATACTTATGCTATGTTCTAATACTTTTTTAATTGTGTTCTAAATATTATTACTTAGAATATCATGAATAATAATTACATAGCTAAAATTAAAACAAAAAAAAAACAACAAAAATAAACCTGAATGACTAAAACCTATATTAGGAAACACAAAATGCATCAAAATCAGCAAAATATTAGTATGATAAATCAAAAAATATATCAGTAAAATAAATCAATCAGCAAATGTCATCAAAAACAACAAAGTATCATCAAAATACAACAATAATCGCAAAGAATTGAAAAAACTGAACTGACGAAAAAATATCAAAAAATATCAACGAAACAGATGAATAAACGAAAAAATCAAAAAAATTAAATGAAAAACTGAACAATAAAGCAAAAATTAAAGAAAAAGTCGCCAAAATAAATTTTGTATAATCGATCAGAAATTAAACAATAATCGCAAATAAAACTGATAAAATGAAGCAAAAAATAAAATTATATGGAATATAATCGAACAGAAATTCAGCAAAAAAAAACGAAAAGTAATTGATCATGATAAAAATTAGAAATACAAAATTAGATTATAAAATTGATAATAAACTTACAAAAGTGATTGACTGATTTCCACCAACATCAGAGGAAAAATTAGGAGAGAGGGTAAAGAGTCTGGGAAGTTAGGAGAGAGAAAGCTGGAAAACCCAGATATTTTGCGTGAAAGGAGGAAAATGGGAAAGGGGTATAAAATACTTAAAATTACTAAAATGCCATTACTATGAATGTATTTTTAGGCGGTTGGATCATAATCAATCAACAACCCTAATTTGTTCTTATATAAGGTTAAGTCTTATATAGAGGAGGGTTCTTATATGAGCCTTCCTCATATATATAGGGAGGGATCCGGTAAGAACCCCTCCTTATATAAGAACCCTAGTTATATAGGAACCAATCTCAGCCGTAAGATTAAGTTACTTTGGACGGTTAAGATTAAAACACATATCCTCCCTCAAACCCTTTACCTACCGTCCAAAATTTTCTCTCTCCTCTAACTTTCTCTCTCTTCGTGTTCATCACTTTCTCTCTCCTTAAACCCCCAAAAATCTTCATAGAAATTGCAATTTGAAGGATTTTCAATTTAGGTATGTTTTTTTTTTTCGATTTTGTTCAAATTTTCATGAAATTAGCATGATGTTCAAGTAGATTTTGCGATTATTCAATTTGATTTTGCGATTTTATGTTTTGGGATTTTTGTGATTTGAATTTTGCGAATTTTCTGTTTTGATTTTCATGAATTTTGCATGAGTTCGATTTTTCGGATTTGATTTTAATGAATTTCGCATGAGTTCGATTTTGCAATAGGGCTTCAATTTTAGCAGATTTATGGTTCGATTTTAGGGTTTGAATTTCAAAGATTTAGTGTTTGAATTTCAGAGATTTAGTGTTCGAATTTCAGCGATATTAGGTAATTTCTGCACTACTATTAATTTTTTATTGTTTTTTTTTTGGTGCAGTGGTGCTCTGGTGGACTGAATTGGTGGTCTTGCAGTGGTTTAATTGTTGTTTTGGGGTGCGTAGATTGGTGGAAGTGGGCTGGTACAAAGGACTTGTTGTGGTATTGTTGATGATACTACTGGAGGGGTCCGTTTGGTAGGGTGTAAAACATTTTCAATGTAAAATGGTTTTCCATGAAAATCATTTTACAATGGAAAACTCATTTTCAAAAAAGTTTTTCATTGTTTGGTTGAATGGAAAATGATTTTCCATTTTAAGCATTTTCCATTGTTTGGTTGAACTGAAAATTCAATTGTGAGGGAAAATGTTTTCCCTCCACTTGTGATGGAAAATGTTTTCCTTCTAAATTGGGGGAAAATGTTTTCAATAAGGTGGAAAATGATTTTCCACCCCAAGTTTTACATTTTAATGTTTTACACCAAACCAAACAATGTAAAATGGGAAAACACTTTTCAGTGAAAATGTTTTACGCCCTACCAAAGGGAGTCTTGTAATCCAGGTAATCTGGATGATTGCTTTTGCTGGTTTCCTGCACAATTTGTTATTATTTTTGGTCAATTTGTTTCCTGTAAGTCCTTTGTACTGATTTTCTGCTACCTGTTGTACCTTGTGTTCCTTCATGTATCTTTTGTTGCAATTTATTTGCTGGAATTTTGCTTGGAAAGTCATGGTGTTGATCTTTCCACATTGTCTTGATGCTGTTGATTTTTCTTTATATATTGCTTACTTTAGTATTGCAATAAATTACTTCAGTTAGCATTTTCTATTGAAATGAAGTAAGTTCAGTATGTATTTCTCTCAAATGTTTGTATCAAAGTCTAGCATTTGATTTTACTTGATTTTTCTCCACATTATTACTTCAGTTTCTTGTCATATTTGTATTGCTGGAGATCATCTTTGGTACTTGAGCAAGACGCATATCCAGGGGTCTTGCTGCAAACTGAATCTTATGTTCTACCTGCAAATTGAATTTGCTGAGCAAAGGATTAACCAAGGAAATACTCCATGATAAAAAATTTGTTACCAAACTTCTTTTGCATTCAAGACTTTATACACACAACAAACAAAGCAACAAATGCTTTGACTCAGACAAATGGGATGTGATTTAAAGTTATGTTATATAATGGAACTATACCCAAGGGGATATAAGTGATTTGATTTGTTTCAGTTATCTACCAGTATGCAAGTGTTTGTATGTCCAATTTTGTTACTTGTGATTTTCGGATTATTATCCCAAAGTCATGTTGTGTGTTTAGTTACTATCTTGTCAGCCATCAGTGTTGGTTTGGTTTGGTTTTGCAACTAATTATGCTATTTGATAATTGAGTCATAAGTAGACTGAATTTAGAATATAGGCAAAAGAATTTATAACATAGGTAAAAGAATTTAGAACATAGGAAAAAAAAAACTTTAGAACATAAGTAGACTGAATTTAGAACATAGGCAAAAGAATTTAGAACATAGGTAAAAGAATATTTAGAACATAGGAAAAAAAACTTTAGAACATAGGTAGAAAAAATTTAGAGCATAGGAAAAAAAAAACTTTAGAACATAAGTAGACTAAATTTAGAACATAGGAGTAGGAAAAAAAATTAGAACATAAAAAAAGAATATTCTATAACTAAAGTATGTTTTTAAGAATGTGTCATATGTTCTTTATTTAGCATTCTATATTTGCTATAGACTAGGAAATCTGATTATGGACTTGCAATAATAATAACAAATAAATAGAGGAAAGCTTGAAGGATTTTTGATTAATAAGATTATAACGGCTACAATGGGGAAATATTAGAGCTTCTACTCTTGAGGACTACTACTACTACACTACTATCTATTAACTTCTCCAACAACATGAAGTTACTGTTGCATTCCTAATCCTTTAAATATCAAGCTTTCTCTCACAAAGTACTCTAACATTAATATTTTGTCATGTACTGTCAGTGCAGCCTTCACACAGAAATACTCCTTGCCACTCTTTAGTGGATCATTAAAATTCTTTGTCTTTTCCTCATTACACTTTACTGCTGTTGTTGATCTTGCCCCTTGCTCTTTTGTTTGTGCCTCCTCTCGTATACCCGAATAGGTGGTTGTTGGTGTGCGTCGATCCGTTCCATAGCAATATTCAGTTAAACAATTCCCATGTTCTAATTTTAGAACATTTGCAATAAATTTTAGAACAAATTCAGTAAATTTTAGAACATATGCTAAAACCTATTAGCTCAATTGGCAGAGCATTATGCAAATGCATAGAAGATGTAGGTTTGATTCCTACATAGGTTAACTCTAAAAATAACTTTAAAAGGTAAATTAAATTAGCTCTAAGTTATATTTTGTACAAGAATAAATTGGTTGATATGCTTAACGACTATGGAAACTTTGTTACAACTTAACTCACATACAAACTCTTATCTCCACACTATGAAAATGAACCTACGTGGGATTCGAACTCACATCTTTTGTGCATTTGCACAATGCTCTATCTGTTGAGCTAGTAGGCTAATGTATATAAAGCATTTAAACGAAAAAAATTACTAAAAAGATAGACATTAGGTCTATCTACATCCACATGTCTACATCTCCATCATCAAAATTCCCCCAAGTAGAACCTATATACAAGAATAAAATTTGGAACAAGAAACCAACCAGCCAACTCTCAAGTAATCAATAGGATACTGACTTATCTTCTAAACTTTTTTTTGCTTATGTTCTAAAGTTTTCCTATGTTCTAATTTTTTTCAGCTTATGTTCAAAATTATTTCATATATTCTAAGTTATTTTTTCAGCTTATGTTCTAAATTTTTTTCCTATGTTCTAAATTATTTTTTCAGCTTATGTTTTAAATTTTTTCCTATGTTCTAAATTATTTTTTCAGTTAATGTTCTAAATTTTTTCCTATGTTCTAAGTTATTTTTCATATGTTCTAAATGTTTGTTAGTTTATGTTCTAAATTTTTCCTATGTTCTAAATTTTTTTTCCTATATTCTATATTATTTTTTCAGCTTATGTTCTAAATTTTTTCCTATGTTCTTAAAATAAAAAAAAATTGAAAAAAAAGAAGAAATCTAAATATATAAACTCTAAATTGATGAAAGTACAACCAAAAATAAGGAAAATCGCCAAAAAAAAAAAAGAATAATAGAAACAAAAAATTGCATGCAAATTCTGAAAAGAAATTTGGAAAAAAAAAACAAGGAATAAAATGAAATCAGAATATTTTAAGAATTAATAAACTTACAAAAGTTTGAATTCATTGATGAAGATTGGGTACTTTTGAGTGTTTGAGTTTTGAGGAGAGAGAAGATGCTGAGGAGAGAGAAAATGTTGAGGAGGAGAGAAGGAATTGTCTTGAGATTTAGGGTATTTTGTTAGAAAGGTAATAAAAAAATTGTACACAATTACAAAATTGTCATTCTAAAGGATGATTTTAGATGGTTAGATCAAAACTAATAAATGGCTGAGATTGATTCTTATATAAGATTGGGTTCTTATATAGAGGAGGGTTCTTACATGAGCCTTCCTCTATGTATGATCTTGTTTGGTACATTTATATGATCGTTTGTATTGTTGATTAATCAAGTGGGTTGCCTTACGAAGCTTATGTGTTTTTGTAAGAGCTTGCACTATTTTGTTGACATATAGCTTGCTTTGAGAACAAGATATGTACCTTTAATTTTTTTTTAATTTACAACAAATTGTTGACTAAATGAACACATATATACAAGAAACAACATGATCAGACTTAATTTTCTCATCGAAATCAAAGTTTACTCCTCCTGAGCGATTCCATTACAACTGCAGATTTTTGTACCTTAGAGGCCTAGAAAGCCCAACTCTTTATGAAGTTCTCAATCTAAGCATATTTAGAAAACTTAATGGTGGTGTTGCAGCTCCTTTGTTTACTTCCTGTACTACAGATGTGGCAACAGTTGCAGCTGCAACATTTGCCATTGCTAAGTCGCCTTTGAATCACGATGTAGTTTCTTTGACAACTTATTCTTCTGATTTGTTGCATCTGGCACTCCAGGTATATGATAGCCTTTGTGATTAATGCATAGTTGCAATGGCCTTTGTAGCCGCTATTTTAGCCTTGATTATTTTATATTTTTACATGACATAATTAAGCTCTTTTTGTAGCAGGTCTTCAATTTCACTTTTATAGTCCTTCAATTTCACTCTTATAGTCCTTGAGAAGCACATGTAGGAATTCCATAAAGGAACCAATGTGAGGGATTTTCTTACAACATAGGCAGATGAAAAAAAATTATAATATAGGAATAAAAAATTAGAACATAGGTAGAAGAAAAAAATTTAGAACATCGGAATAAATTTTAGAACATAGGGTTCAGAACATATAGAAAAATTAGAACATATTAAAGAAAAATTAGAACATAAAAAAAAAAATTTAGAACATAGGAATTTAGAACAGATAAAAAAAAATTTAGAACATAATAAAAAATTTAGAATATATTAAAAATTTAGAACATAGGAATTTAAAACATAGGCAGAAATATTTAGAACATAGGAAAACCAATCTAGAGCAGAACATAGGAAAAAAAATATTAGAAGATAGGCAGAATAAATTTAGAACATAGGAAAAAAAATATAAGAACATAGGCAGAATAGTTTAGAACATAGGCCAAAAATATTTAAAACATAGAAAAAAAAATTAGAACATAGAGAGAAAATTTTAGAACATATGTAGAAAAAATTTAGAACATAGCTAGAAGAATTTTGAACATAATATAGACAAAAAAAAAATTTGATAAATATTTAGAACATAGGAAAATAATTTAGAACATAAGATTTTATTATGGTTTAATTTTAGGTTGGATTACACTATTTAATTTCAAGTCTTTGCCCTCATTGGCATTCCAACCCTCCAATAGAAACAGTTATATTCAATTCCATTCCATGTAGTAAAAGTAAAAGATTGAAATCAACATGCAACCCTTAGAACATAGGGAAAAAATTTAGAACATATAGGTTTAGAGCATAAGACAAAACCTTTAGAACATAGGAAAAAAAAATTAGAATATAGGGAAAAAAAATTAGAACATAGATAAAATATTATCACATAGGTGTAAAACCATACAGAGTAGGAAAAAGAGTTAGAACATTGGTAGAAAAAAGTTAGAACATATCTAGAAAAAAAAAATCTAGAACATAGTTAGACAACTTAGACTAATTTAGAACATAGGGATAAAACATTAGAACATAGAGTTATTGTAGGTTATTGTATAATTTTTTTTTTAATTGTTAGTTTGCTAAAACCTATTAGCTCAAATGGTAGAGCACTATGCAAATGCATAGGGATGTAGATTCGATTCCTACATAGGTTATCTCTAAATGGAAACTATGTTACAATTAAACTCTTATACAAAACTTTCATTTTCACATTATACAAATGAACCTACGTGGGATTCGAACCCACATCTTTTGTGCATCTGCACAATACTCTACCCATTGAGCTAGAAGGTTAATTGCACTATACATATTGTCATTAGTTGTCCTTTACTGCATATTTGGGAAAGAAAATATTATCCCGTGTTAAGACTAGTGCTAATCAGGCAAGCATTGACAAAAACATAACTAATTAACAATAAAGGGTAGTACTAATATCAGAAATTATACTCATGATATTTATATCATGTGGGCACTGTAGGCACACAAGTCATAAAACTAGCCATAAATTCCTTCAAGCAGTACCATGTTCTAGAATGGTTGCAATTGTAAGGATATGTCTAGCCTAATTCTTGAGCCTTTCTATTGGTATCAATGCTAAGACCATTATGTTTCTTCGTGTACTATCTCAAGTCCCAGAGGTGAAGAGCTCAAAATGTTGATAAACCTTTTTTTTTTTTGACAAAACGTGACCAAACTATTATGAATCAGAAATATCTTCACTTACAAACAACTTGACATTAGGAGGAGCTTTCTCCAACCAAACATAAAAAGCAATAAGAACAAGACAATTTTTTGCAAGTAGATGGGTTGCTTTGTTCCCATTTCTTTTTATATGGACAAAAGTGATCGAAACACAAAGAGATGAGCAGTCCCTTCTTCCACTTCTCAAAGCATCTCAATACTCAGACAATCAAGCTCCACAATGAAACTTCGAAATCCTGCTTCCATAGTTGTTTGCAGCCCACAACGGAGCGCTATAGCTTCACCAATTTCAGCAGAAAAATTTCCCTCACGAGTGTCACACATTGCCATCAGAACATCCCCACTACTATCTCTCAAAATAGCTCCAAT